CAGACAGCAAGGGACCAATGAACAGATACCAAAAGAGAAGAATGTCCACACCTTTATCTCAGCGGTTCTGCCAGGCGTCTGTGGCCGCTCCGATCCTTTTCCCATGTGGTCTCACTCAAGATGGCGGCTCCTGGAGCAGCCGAGCGTCCTGGACTAGAAAGCAATAGATTTCTTGCTTCTGCCACAAATTCCCCCAGCTGTGAGCCTTCCAACCTTCTAAGTATTCCTTTATATGTGGTTCAAAGTTCTGGGACCATCCCCTGAGCCTGCTTAGTCGGGTATTCTGTGTTGTTGTTGGCAGAGCTCCTTTTCTACACTTCCACCTGATCTGCCATCTTGTTTGTTCTCCCAGAACCAATAGATTTTAAAAGGATACTAAAGGAATACAACAAAGAACTGTGCTCCGACAAATTTGAAAATGTAGGCGAATTAGATACATTTCTAGAAACATATGACCTACCTAAATAAACTAACCCAGACTGAAGTAGAAAAGTTGAACCGGCCTATAGCAAGAGAAGAAATTGATCAACTCAGTTTTGTCTACTTACTTGGGACCCTGGTTGCACCCAGGACCTCCCGGGGTTCTGTATGGAGGGCAGGGTTAGTGTCACTGCCTACGCTTATGGAAATAGCATGGGAGAGGTGGACATGGAGCATCCTAGAGGGACCTCTGTGGAGGTCTTATCTGAGGAGAGGGTTCAGGGACCCAGGATGTGACCTCGCTTCCTTGGTAATGGTGGTCAACAGAACTTGGAACTCAGAACATTCTAGACACAGCCTTAGCCTGCTCATTTGTGTGGAGACACTTGTTCAAACAGCATGTTTTCCCACTGTCTCGGGAAATTCGGAAGTTGGGCCCTTCCAAATAGGGTGAGAAGATGGCTTAGTCCTCATCCACGAAGGCTCTGGCTGCCAGTATTCCCAAAGACCCAGGTCAGGCTGAGTCAGGTCAGCCCACCGCTGGACATCCCCAGACCCATCCCTAGGCCATAAGAGTCTTTGGGTGGGGAGGGACAGAGAGGATAAAAGAGCAAGAACTGCTAAGGCTGAAAGTTGTCAGAACAAGACAGGGCTCATTTGGGGTGAGAAGTGTGTGGATCATGTGATCTAGAAAAACACAGTGGGATGGAGGTGATGATGAGGATGAAGATGCTGTTTAACCAGCAGCACTTCTTGAGGGCTCTCCCGGCTCCATCCCCAGGACAACTCTCCATCACTGCATTGTGGTCTGACCAGGTATATATGGTCATCACCCATCAGGTAGAGCATCATGTGAGCTAGAGTAGAGGGTGAGGTGGCACACGTAAGACGTTGGTTCATGTGTTTGCTCTAAAAAGTAGTCACATAGGACACAGGGACCTAAGTTCCTTCCCAGAGGTTCCTGTTGAGACCCAGAACTTTGGGGAAGGGACTGTCAGAGCTGAGAGGGCACTTTCACCTGGGCCTTCTCGGAGCTCCATGTTCACCCTGTGAAGGGTAGCAAGGGGAGGAAGAGGCCCCTGAGTGGGTCCTAGATGCCTCCTACACCCACTGCTGGGCACTGTCTCTGCAGGGCTCCCTGAAGGAGATGGACAGGAAGAAGTACAGTACCATCATCTCCTCCTTCTGTGACAAAGGGGACAGGAAGGACCAGGGCAGACGTGGGGTGAGTGCAGGTGGAACAGGGTCTCCACATTCAGGACCCCAAGGGGGCTTCAAGGGGCCCTGGGACACAGGCACCTGTCTGATGATACTCCCATAGGGATGTCCCTCTTGAGTGACCCCTTCTTTCCAAAGGAATTCTGCCACCACCCCTTCCCCCCTCCCCACCCCACTGTCCACCCAGACAGGTTCAGTCCCCTTTCCCACATGTGAAGGGATATGGGAAAGAAGCTTTTCATACTGCCTTCTCCTCCTGTGAGGCAGTGATGAATCTTGTATTTTGTACTGTTGGTGGTTTGAACTCCCAGCCTCACAGGTCCCCTGGAGCAGTACCCCTCCCCTCCTCCCAGCCTCATGCATCCTCACATGCAGAAGGGCCAGGGTTTGTGCCATAATATAACTTAGTCTTCACCTTACACTCTGATGAATAAAACCAGGGCTCCTCCACATCAGGTCCTGACCACCCAGCTACAGCATATTCCAGAAGGGAGGCCACATTCCGAATCTATTGAGTTTCTCACTGCCGGTGGGCCTAGATGTGTGTCCTTTCTGCTGCCATCTCAGCAGCACAGGGGGGAACATCTTATTTGTTTCCTCATGTCCTAATCCCCACCCAGGAGGGAAATTTGAGATTTGAGGTTCCCCATATTTTTAATCATCCACCATCCTCAAATTCTGCTTTGAAAGATGAGACCCAATTTCTGCTAGAGAGTTGTCTCATCTCCTGACACAGGTCACTGAAGAGCTGCAGTCCCCGTCCGAGCTCCAGCCTCAGACCTGTCTGGTGGTCCATGGTGCTGCCTCGGATGCATGTCCCTCTTCTGTGTCATTCCAGTGTGACGTTGGATCGGCTGTAGCCCTGCATGAGTCAGGCTCGCTGCGGAAGAGGGTGGAGGGCCTGGTGCCCGCCTTCTTGCGGGGTGAGCTCTCCTACATCTACACTTTCCTGGGGACCTACAGAGCATCTGCCACCCCCCAGCAGGTCCTGGACCTTCTCTTCCATAGGTGAGTGCCCTGCCCCCCACATCCAATGGTGACTCGGCCACCTATTATTAGCTGTGTATCATGGGAATGCCCCATCCCCTCTCTGGGACTCAGTTTGCTCCTTTGAAAAGAGGGGAGGTAAGTGGACCCCTCCCAGCATATTGTGAGAATCATCCAAGGACAGTGCTCACCCACAGCCTGGCTCAATGGAGGATGCTGCTGAAGGGACTGTTGTTGTTGTTGTTGTTAAGTGCTGTTGAGTCAATTCTGACCCATAGCGACCCTGCATTGGGTTTCCAAGGCTGTATATCTTTATGGGAGCAGAAAGCCTCATCTTTCTCCCATGGAATGGCTGGTAGTTTCAAAGTGCTGACCTTGAGATTAGCAGTTTGATTCATCACCACTGTGCTCCCAGAGCTGCTTGCTGAAGGGACTGGGGGTGTGCCAATGGATCCTCTCCCTGTCTCATTCCTCCGTGACCTCATGACCTTGAGCACAGACATTTCTTCATCTGTAAAATGGGTATGAGATTCCATGTAGTAGGTCCCAACCTTGGTGTAACCAGAAGGATCCCTGCGGGCTGAATACAGTGAGGTATCAGGAAAGGTGCTGGTTGAGATTATTCAGTCAACAAATATGCAGGAAGCTCCTACTCTGGGCAGAGGCTGTTCTAGGCTCTGAGTCTCCTTCAATCAACACAGTAGACCCCATCCCCACCCTCCTGGTCCCAGTCTAGTCGGGGAGGCAGACAGGAACCCTGGACATGGTCAGCAGGGAGTGTCCACAGTGCATCCCAGGTGATGTCCTCCCCTCTTCCTCTAGGTATGGTTGTGTCCTCCCCTGTTCTGATGAGGGTGGTGGACCCCAGGACCAGCTCAAAGAGTAAGTAAGTGGACTCTGGGTCAAGATGGAGGGGCTCCTGTCTGCACAGAAGGGTGGAGAGGTGTGGGATTGGTGGGAGGCTATCTTTGGGGAGGGACTAGCTAGAGCCCTGGGTTCGCACACTCAGATTCCCCTAGAGACATGAATTCTGGGGTTCTCCTAAATAGGAAGCAGTCACAGAGAGCTAGGGGTGTTGCCCCAGTGTGTTTGGGAATACAGAGTAGTAGCCTAGAAGCTAGAGTCTGCCCCAGGAGACCCCAACCCCGGGGTTGTGTGAAGAGAGCCGAGCTCCTGACTGCTGAACCCCAGTCTTAAGGGCTCAGCTGCATGTGGGGCTAGAGGAATGGGTCCCAGCATTCCTGAGAACAGTGTTAGAGGGAAGAAGAGACCCTCCCACACACAGAGAGAATGAGACAGAAAGTTGGTAAATAAACAAGCTCCAGGTTGAGGGGCCCAAGGCCCTGGGCAGGTTGGTGCAGGAAGATGGACCTAATTTGTCCCTCTGCCAGCAGGTATTCACGGAGCACCTACTGTGTGCCAGGTGGGACAGGGAACACAGACACAGCTCTCCCTGCCTTCAGGGAGTTTCTTTCAGGTGTGAGGGGCCAAAAGACAGCAGGGAAGGGTGTCAGGGTCCCTGAAGAAGGGAGGTGGTCTGACCACTGATGGGTCTAGGCTTTCTGTTAGGCCCTGCAGGGTGACCAAGTGTCCACTGCCAGGACAGCCAGAGTGGGCAGGAGTGGGGGTGAGGCTGGCCTCAGGAAGGTCAGGGTGGGCACAGCGGCTGAGCTCTTGCAGGGGGGCTATGGGAGGGTCCTATAGAAGGAAGGCCAGGCCCCTGACCCTGCTGTCTTCCCTCCCACCCTCAGGGCCATGACCTTCATCCTGGGCACCTGGCTTAAAGACCATCCGGAGGATTTCCATCAGCCCCAGGATCTGCTCCCCCTCAAGGTGCTGACGGCCTACGCTCAGATGAACATGTCAGGCTCAGACCTGGAGCGCAGAGCCCACCTGCTCCTTGTCCAGCTGGAACCCCCAGAGTCCGTGAAGATAGAGCCTGAGGGTGAGGAGGATGGGGTGTGGGCATGGGCTTAGGTGTGCAGGACCATGGGGCTGGGTCCCACAGGAGGGACCTCTAGAGGCTGGCTTTCGGCAGAACTAGCCCCCTCCTTTGGGGTCCTTTGTGGGGTTTCTGGAGAGGGGTGCCTGGTTTGGGCCTCTCTTAATGGCAGGGAAAGGATTCATCTTTGGAAAGACACAAGAAAAGAAGAAATGTCGGGCATCTCCTCTCCTCTTGCAGCTCCATCTGCTCTCCAACCAGCTCATGGTCCAGCCCCACCTCCAGGACCAGCTGTAGGACCACCTCCCGAGGGAGAGCCTGGTCTCACCCCAGCTTCTCCATCAGCAGCCCCAGCCCCTGAGGGAGAACTTGCTTCTGCTCTAGATCCACCCGGAGCCTCCCCTCCAGAACCTGCTCTAGAGGCCGAGCCAGCCTCAGTACCTCCTCCAGCATCCGCCTGGGCTGTGGTCAGCTCCACCCCGAACCTTCCTACCTCCCCAGAGAGACCACCTTTGTGATTGTAGTCAACTGTTTACTTTTTTTTTGGCTTTATAGTTTAATCCAATTTCAGTTTTAGATTTGATGTAAAATAAAGTTTTGCGTGTTGATTGACCATTTGGAGGTGTGTGACTCTGTAGCTTCCTATACCTTCACGATGTTGTGTGCCATGAGCACAGTCTGGTGCCAGAGCACGCTCCACCCCCACCCCCACTCAGACACTTGGTAACCATGAAGCTCCTACTGCCCCCTCGCTTTCCCAGGTCCCTGAGAACATGCCTTGGCTTCCATTGTCTACGCATGTAAAATGGTTCAACCACTCTGGAAAACAATTTTGGTGCTTCTTCAGAAAGTTGTAAACAGAAATACATTATGATCCAGCAATTCCTCTATTGGGTATATATCCACAAGAAATATGAGCCAGAACATGAGTAGATATATATCCACACCAGTGTTCATCACAGCACTATTCACAATTGCAAAAAGATGGAGACAGCCCATCAATGGAAGAATAGATAAACAAACTTTGGTACATATACACAATAGAATAATATGCTACCTTGAAGAATATAAATGAAGCTGCAAAACATCTCATAACATGGATGAACCTTGAAGACATTATGCTGAGTGAAATTAGTCACAAAAAGGGCAAATATTGTACATGACCATTATTGTAAAAGCTTAAGAAAAGATACCCATACTAAAAAGGAAAAAAAATTATTCTTTGTTGGTTACTGGTGGGGGTGGGGTGAGGGGGTTGGGGGGTGAAGGGAGAATACAATAGAGCACAGGGTAGTGGATAGACACAGACACATCATAGTTCCAGTGTTGGGGAGGGCAATACACAAGAAGAGGGAGGGGTGAAACAACAAGGTAGATAAGGGAACACTGAGACAGTTTTGCATGGGCTAAATGGGACAGAGATAAATAGTGATGCATGCTCAGCCTTGAACAACAGGGCTGTGTGATACAGGGATCAAGCCATAGTCTAAAGGGGAAATAATGTTAAGATACTTGACTGCCTTATGAATATTGGTTTCCCTTGCCTACAATTGTAAAATATACACCTGAGTGGGATAGAAAGGAATGTTGGGAAACATGATTACAGAAAACTTGTAAGCCTGTCTTCAGCCTAAAACTGATTGGAATACCTACAAGGGGTTCTACAACTTGCCCAGTGAAATAGGCCTCTTGTAGAGCCTTTGCAGTGTATAGGACCTTAGGTGGCATCCTGAGCCCCATCCAGAACCTTCTGAGGTGGGACATTCCCACTAGAAAGGACAAGCAGACCAGACTGGAACAGCTAGAGCAACAGAAGATACATCTTCAAAGAAAGATCAGCAGGGAAAACCCAAAACAAAAATGGCAGTATGATTGGCTACCACAAGAACAAGCAAGTTGTTCGCCAGGAAGCCATCAAAGCAAGCAATCAGGTCTCTTCAGGACAAACCCCCCTCCAAGACTGAAACTCAGGGAACACATGAGAAGGCATGTACGCTTGCTGGCAACCACATTGGTCTACTGGTGAGTGGAAGAGGCGGAAAGGCAGCAATGAACACATGGGCTGAGTTCAACCACAGTCCATAGACTGCCGTTGACCTGGAGACGAGAGAGAGAAGAGGAAGGGCCGGTTGGTCCAAAGTGTGGTGAGACCTGGGGAATCCTGGGCCCATGGACAAGGACATAGACACAGAGGGTTAGAGCTGAGAGTGAAGCATCCAGCTGATATGAAGTGAGAGGAGACACACAAGAATGCCCCAACTTGCAGATAGTACCCCTTTGACCTAGCCTCAGTGGCTAGATAATCAGAACTTGACTAGAGGAAGATAAAAAAAAAAAAATTTTTGATAAAGGAAATGAGTGTAAATTGTGACAATTTGATGAACTCGACTTATACTTATGGATGTAGTAGCTTAAAATACCAACTGAGAGGGAGTATCAAGTATCTTCACATCAAGTATCAATGCTATTCCCTCTGTATACAAGGTAGATAGGGGCAGGAAACTTAGACATTGGCTACCTAAAATGAGGAAGTGATAAAGGCATAAAGTGACTGGCTTACAAGGTTTCAAGAGGGAGTTTAGTTTAAGAGTATAGGGGGAAAGAAAGAGTCCCCACTGAATAGTTTTCATCTTGTCTGGACAGGTCTGGTGAAAAGAGATGGGGATAAGAGTCTTATGATTCAATTATGAATAATTGTTATCATGACTAATTATGACTGTCACAAATGTAAAGGTAGAAGTTTTGTAACAAAATGGGGGAGCAGTTAATCTTACAGTTCAGGAACAGAGGACCCTAGGAACATCAAGGGAGAAGAGCATGAGTGGAATGTGGGACCATATCCAGAGAAGCAGCGACACCAGAGATGGAGACAGAGATGAAAACATGGAGAGAGGGAGCAGCTGAGGACTCTGGACTCATGGAAAGAGAGGGACTGACTGCTGACAGGCAGGAGGCAGGCTTGCAGAATGTGCCCTTTGGTTGTTTAAATGATTATATATTCCTGAGTGTTTCTGTGTTTAAAAAAAAAAGAGGGAATAGAGGCAAATACTGTTGACCGATTGTGCATGGAAGGGCTTGTAATCATTGTAATGAAACAAAATACGATTAGTTGAGTGCAAGCTCCAGTGTTCTGCCCTATAAACTGTCACTCAGGTCACAATAAAATCTTAGAAAAAAAGAATTGGTGATAGCAATGGGTGAAAACACATTGCTTCTACAGAAGTCCTATTCTTGTACAGACACACTAAAAGGTTTTGAACATATTTTGGTAAATTTCTTTTGCTGCTGTGAAAAAAATAATTAGCAACACAGTAACAAATGAAGTTCTCCATCAGGAGAAATGAGGGAACCAGTAAGTGAGTCACCTTATATCCAGTCCAAAAACACTTTCTCCCACTCACTGGACTGCGAGCCACAAGGTCAGCGGTTTGTGCCCACCAGCCACTCCCATAAAAATTTACAGGCTCGGAAACCCAATACAGGGTCGCTGTGAGTTGGAACCAGTGCCATGGTACTCAGTACTAACAGCAGCAAATGTAGGTTAGGGGAGCGACTTGCTTTTAAGAAACCTTTCAAGCCAGGGCTTAAATCCACTGACAATAACTGTAAGTATTGGAAATATCACCAGGTTTTTGTGGGTTTTTAATGGTGGTAGATACAATTCTATGTGATGTATCTACATCTCGGAGTCCTGGGGTGGTATCGTAGGATAATGTACTGAACCTCAAGGTCGGTTTGAACAGCAAGGACGATGATTCAAACTCACCAGTAGCTCCTTGGAAATCCTAGACAGGACCACTGAGTTGGAATCAACTCAATGGCACTTATCAACAACAACGACTCTGCATTGAAAAGACGAAGACTCTTAAAAAGAGTAACCTAGGCTCAGGGAGACGTGGCTTAAGTTGGCACAGGACCCGGAAGTGCCTCGTTCATTGTTGCATAGGGTCGTATGAGTTGGTATGGACTCGATGGCACCTAACAACAACAACAACATACTATTTCTTTGCTTCTGGTGGCTGTATGCTTACTCTGCTGATCCTGTTCTAATATTTGGAGATGTTGTGTTAATGTGTTGATTTTGGCTCCTCCTCTTTTTCATTGTGCGCGTTTGTTGCTACAAACTGCTCTCTGAGCACTGCTTTTGCTTAGTTACAAAGGTTTGGGTATGTCCTGCTTTCATTCTCCTCAGTTTCAAGGAATATTTCAATTCCATTTTTTAAATTTCTTCTATTACCCAGTTGCTTTTAAGCAGGGTGTTATTCAATATCCATTTATTTGATTTTTCCTCCCTTGATTTCAAATTTTATGGCTTAGTGATCGGAGAAAATGTTATGCAGTCTTTGATGTTTTGAAATTTCTTGTGATTTGCTGTGTGTAGCTTAATATATGTACTATTCTGGAGAATGTTTCATGTGCACTGGAAAAGAATGAATATTGTGTTGTTGTTGTGTTGAGTGCCCTCTATATATCTTTGAGATTAAGTTGGTGGTATTGGATAATTCTTCAGGGTCTTTATTCAGTTTCTTCCTAGTTGTTTTGTACTCCATCAAAAAGATGCATTAAAATCTCCTCATCTCGTTGTAGAGTTGCCTATTGATCTTTCAGTTCTATTGTAATTTGATTTATGCACTTCCAGGTCCTTTCATTGGGAACACAGATATTTATTAAGGTTCTCTTGTGGAATTGAGCCTTAATCATGATATAGTGTCCTTCTTTGTCTTTTATACAGTTTTTTGCTTAAATTAAAGTCCATTTTAGATTAACATTGCCATTCCTGTTCATTTTTGAATGTCTTTTGTTTGGCATATATATTTTTTTTCATCCTTTGATATCAGGCCTGTTTTTATCTTTGTTTGTAAAGGGTGTCTCTTACAGACAGTATGTTGAAGGATTCTGTTTTCTTATCCATTCTGCTACTCTCTATCAACTGGTACATTTAATCCATTTACATTCAGTGTGATTATTCAGTATCATCGTTACATGCCAAGTCGATTTGACTCACAGAAACCCTGTATAGGGTTTCCAGAAAGATCTGGTGTTCTCCAACTGCTGCCATGTGGGTAGCCCTAATCTTACAGTGCCACGGGAGGACTACTGTCAATCTTTTGTGCGAGCAGGGAGCCTCATCTTTCTGATGCGGAGGTGTGGAACCTCACAAATTCTGGTCGCAGTCCATTGTGCATCCTGTAGTGTCACCATGCAGGTTTGGAATTACTTACCATCGGTTTTTGTGTGTGCATATTTGTGGTGTTGCTGGTTTCATTGCTCAGTGTAATTGTCTGCACTGGGTTCATTTTGCTTGTGAGTTCTCTTTACGTTTTCTTCATTGCTGTTGATTTAATGTTTGCTAACTCTTTCAGATTTTCCTCTCTTTATTTTGATGTGAGGGTGTTTTTGTTTTGCTGTTACCCTGTCATTTATTCATTTCTGTCCTTTTTTTTTTTAAGTAGACTGTTTTATCTTGAAATTTGCTTGACTCCATCTTTTGGAAGTTCTGTATCTACATCATTCCCTC